GCCGCGGCTCAGGCGAACGAGAGGCTCAATTTGGCCAACGAGGCAGCTAGGTCGGTCGCCGCGGATCTCAACAGGTGATTTTCTTTCTTCCTTTCTTTCAAAAAACCAGAGAAAGAGAGGGCTTTTTATTCTTATCTTCGAATTTATTGACCCTTGAGGATTTGTAGGATCGACCGATTATTATATCGATGGTTAAAACGTAAGAATCGCTTTTTAGACCGCTGGTACCTCTGGTCACCAACGGGATAGTGGCTCCGGCAGTGATCCAGGCAGCAACGGTAGGCCCCGATGGAAGAGGGCAGGACACACCGGAAGTGGCGGCGGCGAAGGCGGCTCACGCGGCAGCCCAATTCAACGAGAGGATCAACCTGGCGAACGAGGCGGCCAGATCATCGGGGACGATAGTGACGGCTGCCCCGGCAGTCGCGGTACCCCTTGTGGCCAGCAACGCCGTTGTGGTGCCCGCTGCGCCCATCGGCCCTGACGGCAGGGTGCAAGACACCCAGGAAGTGGCTGTGGCGAAGGCAGCCCACGCGAACGCTCATCTGAACGAGAAACTGAACCTGGCCAACGAGGCAGCCAAGTCTGCCGACGTCCTTGCTGTTGCTGGCCCCGCGCTCGCCTATGGACGCCTCGTCTATTGATTAACTGATATCGTTTCTGACACGTTCACCGCTTGCGTCTTTCTATTCGAGTCGGCACGTACTTTTACTCACACGGAGAAAATCATGAAATTTTGTCGAGAAAAGGCAGGAAAAGCTTTCATAATAATCCATATTAAGTAGTGATTCATATATATATATATATATATATGTGTGTAAAGTTTTTGCGACGTAGAAATAGCTTTTGTATGAAAATTATTCGTGTTAGCGTGTTAGAATATATGTAGGTACCGAGGATTTGATCATCGCAGTGAACGTGTTAATTAAAAATAAACGAAGGATCATTCGTGATTAATTAGTCGATACTTATTAGTTGCTCGTAGCGAGGGGAACATGGGCTATGGATGGGGAACGATTTACGGTGTTCTCTCGAAGAAGGTATATCTTTTTTTTTTTCTTCCAATGATTCGATTGGCCAGCTTCTGTTTTATCGTTTAATTATTTAGATTCGAGAGAAAAAAGAAACAAAAATGGGCTATGAAAAATCAAGCAAATTAATCGTTTTGATCGTTGCTTTCTATTCTTTTTGTGATCCTTTTAATTTTGATATTTTTTCGAAGGGATGATAAAGTTGTTGAAACTGCCATGTAGAAGCGAACGATGATTGTAGACTGGTTTAAATAAAGTGAATTTTGAAGAAATTATCGTGTTGTTATTGATGAATAATTTTTAATAAACGAATCGAAAAATGAATAATCATTACAAGAGAAATTGACAATAATATATATATTTACTATAAAATCTTATTATAAAATACTTGAAACCAATAAATTAATCACTAAATCACCAGACAGATGAGTATCTTATCTTTCAACTGGCAATAAATTCACGATTTGTTTGACAAAAAAAAAAAAAAATCCGAGCTTTAATTTCACTTTGACACGGTAGTCTAAGGGAATTGATACATATTAATATCGCGGCAATTTTAGATCGCATTGAATTTGGGTCGAGGATCGTATGCAAATAGCCTGACAAATGATTACAAAACGGAAGATTCGTAGACAGATGCCATAATGGCATTAACTTCCTACAAAATAGTATTTGAAATAAATAAATTAATTATCATGATTATGCAAAATTCATCAATTTTATGAATTAATATTAAGATTCCATAATTTTAATACTTACTTAGTAAGTACTTAATATCTTAGTTATTGAACTTATTACTATGAAACATATTTACGTATAAAATAATGTATTAATATACTTATTTATAAAAATGTATTTAAAACCGTTAACGTGATGCAATTTTCTGAATTTTCTTAGCATTAAAATTGTTGTTTCAACGACACCATTACACGCTTTATGTTCCTATTAACTTTTTTTTCGAGACATCAGCGACGAATCTTATTAGCCGGATTCTGCCTTTCACGGATATAAGAGCAGAAAATAATAATAAAAAAAATTTGCTCATCTCGTTTTGATATTGCATCGAATAAAATCTCGTACGCTATCGTCTACAAAATTTAATTTATCGAAATTCAAAATACTCTGAAAATTCTAGTTAAAATCTCCATTACCCATTCAACGCCATCTTTTCTCAGAAAAAATTCCCTAACCTCAACATATGTTGCCCTCCAAACAGAATTCCAATCCAGCCATTCAACTTCATAATACTCTAACACGTTAATAAATATCCTGTTCGAAGGTACTTCTCCTTTTAAACGATCTTTTAAATTCTTCCTCACAACAAATGTCTGTGCATTCTTCTATGTAGCTAGCGCCACGAGAAAAATATCTTGGTTCATAGATTATGACGATAGAAAATGGCGACGATGAGAAGATTCCTTCGAGCGCAGGCGGATGTTTGTGCCAAGACGGCCCTGAAGAGACGTACATATTAGGATATGGCGGGGTGTTCAGGTTTCGAAGAGGTGAAAAAAGGCCCGGTGAAAATGTTTCCAGAGCCGGATTCCAACCGAGTGAGTCCTTGGGCACAAGCTCGACCAGTTTCGTTGCACCTTTGATCCTCGTGTTTCCGCGATCAGGCTAACACCCTCCTGGCTTGCGTGCTTTCTATATAAAGTGGGCAATACGTGGCTGGAATTTACAAGATATCGAATCGAATCACCATGAAGAGCGTACACGTAAGAAATAAGTGTGGTCGCGTGGGTGAATGGAATGGAAGGATTTGGAGTTGCTTCAGGCCTCTCTGGACGTAGATAGATATGGGTGAAAATGGTCTGGTATCATGGGGGATGGAGCAGTGTCTCTCAAGCTTTTGCTTCGTTGGAAAGATCTTTATTCCTTGGTTAGATTTAAGAGTGTTTGTCCAATGTCTTAGATTAGAGATTGATAGTGGAATCGATAAAGGATTGTTACGAAGCTTATTCTCTTCTCATTTTTATTAGATTTTCTGACTCGTAAAATAAAATGGATTTTAGAAATCGACGAAATATATCATCAGTTCTTTACAGTTGTTAGTCTGATAATCTGAAATAGAATAAGAATAGCATTTGAAATTTATAAATAAATATTGATTATCTGGAATTTTATAGTTTATTGAGTTTTGAAATTATAATTTAAGAGAAAGATTATAAATTAGGATTTGATAGATTGGAATTTAATATATGTATACTATCTATAAAAATAATATGATGATATTGAATTTTATCCTCCTCTAAGATTAATTGTTAAATAAATGACAATTCGATTCAATTTAAGAAATAACTGCGATTCTATTTTTAACCGCCTTTTCTTCTAATATTAATCTTCTTACCTTTCTTAAAAAACTTCAAAAATCCCAACAAATTTATTTTAACAGAAATTACAATAAACAATTAATAAATATTCTTCGAACAAAATGAAATACTCGATTGTTAATTTTTAATGTAACTCAATTGCTAAAATTTAATACTAATTTAACATTTAATTGAGCAGCCAATTAATTATTATTGTTTAATTGTTAAAATTATCAAAATTTAACAAGTGTCCTTATTTACAGATCCTTCTTTTCTCTTACTGCTTCATTTCTTCCGGTTTGGCCCAGCCAGCTGCACCGATCCTCACGTACCAGGACAGTTTCGGCCGATACAGTTTTGGTTACAGTAGCCCGTACTCAGCGAGGTCGGAAATCAGAATGTCGAACGGCGAAACACGAGGCGCTTACAGTTACATCGATGACGCAGGAGTTATTCAGACAGTTGAGTACGTCGCTGATGCAACGCACGGTTTCCGGATATTGTTCACCAATTCAGTAAGATTGATGGCAAAATTGATGTAGATTAGATTTTGACTTTCTTTATTTGATTCCATTATTCGATACCATTTATATATATTTTCACTGTTAGATGCAAAATACCGAAGGAGTGGTCGTTGTTCAAACTGGTCAACCACGAACGAAACAGATGGAACATAAAGAAGAAGATAGGTTAGGGAAGAATGATGCATTGCAAGGATCTGTAAGTTTTTTTTTTTAAATGGATTTTTTAACAGGGAGAATAAAATTACTTTCAACACGTCAGATGGAGTTTAATGCAAGAAGGAAAGAGAATTTACAGTACAAGAATCAGCTTAAACCTTCGATTATCAATGAGCCTAAGATATCTGTGTTTAAAATTTCTCAAGGAAATCTTCGGATTAATCCATTTCATTTTTATATACCAATAAACGAAGCTCGAGGTAAATATTTAATATCTTGTCTTTTTTCCCCCCATAAATTTCAACTTTTTTAATATTTCATCAAGTTATTTTAAAGCTGTTAAAAATTGAAAAATTCATGATTTTTTTTTTTGTAATATTTAATTTTATTTTGTCCATTTTATATGCTTTTTGAAAAATTCAGAGAATATAATTTTTATCCATTTTAACCAATTATTTTATACAATCGATAAATTAAACTTTTTCTCACACGAATAGGATAAGAACGATACTAATTAATTTTTTTCTTGGACAAAGAATCTTGAAACCAGATTGGAACACAATCACGTATCTCGTGAAGGTCGTTCTGCTTCCGGAACAGATAATCTTTCAAGAATGAAATTCTGTCATCAACATTTAATCACACTTTCCTCTACGAGAGTTAAATAGGATTAAGTTTTCCAAATTTTCATTCAGTTTTATTTTATCTTTCATCTTATTCTTTTGTTCCAGATCGAGTTATATTAAAATATAAGAAAAAGTGAAAGACGAAAAAGAACAAGACGATTCATAGAAAGGATATATCTGAATATTTTGATATTTGTCAGTGCACAATTTATTTTATAGTATGAAATTTTATATTTCTTATATTTGGATCGAAATATTGTATTTTATTAATAAAGAAGACGAAAAAAGAAATAATTATTTATACAATACAAATTCCAAACAAAAGATTTTTTTAACCATATTAGAATAATTTGTTAAATAAGATGTTTATTAGATTAAAGAAAAATATTATATTTAAAATTGACAAGTACGAGAGTGAGAGAAAAATGAATAGTCGTGCGGTTCTTGTACATTTGTCAATTTATTTTTATTCTTCTTTACAAAATAATGCCGGCTGCCGTAGGACAATGAAACGTAGGAATACACGACGCATATAATTCATGTCAATAATTAATATCGATCGAAAATTAACTCTAACATCTCCATCGTCCTCTTCGTCGTCCGCTATTTGTCATTTCCTTTAGAAAAGTCACGCTTATTAAAAAAAAAAAAAAAAAAAAAAGGAAAAAAAAAGAAAAAAAAAATGTCTGAATCATGTGTTAATACATATGTCAAATAATCATTATATTCATCCCGCCGTTATCATGAAGAGAAACTTAAACTATCGTAAAAAGGCCATTTGTTAATTAACGATACATATCAATACTTGTCATCAATCGCATGAGAAGCTTATTACGATAAAAACCTATATTTACATACCGAAGATATGGATAGCGGTGGAAATTTTTATGGATAGATTTGCAAAAAAAAAAAAAAAAAAAAAAAGAAAAGAAATTAGAACAATGAAACATCGACTTAGACAATTATAAATATTTCTTAACTTATTAACGTAACATATGTAATAATTTTGCAGCTTCGAGCTAGAATTCGAAGAGAAGTGGAATTAAAACAAAAGAGGAATGATGGAAATTTAAGAAGTAGAATTTTTTTAACAGATGTGAAAAGAGAATGAAAAATTGGAATGGAAATATG